TATTTCACATAAACGAAACGCTTTACAACGATAATTTAACGAGATACCGACTGGGAGGTTCTTCAGTAGAATTTCGTCGATATATCATAGCAGCAGAATATATGTACGCTGATATTTCCTAGAGCAAGCGACATATCATCACGATACAGCAACCTAGAAAAATATTGAGGCAGGTTTATCCTGTAATGAATGGTGTATATCTTCGATATCACTTCATAGTGACTGCAAGATACTTCTGATGACTCCCTAACGAGGCATGAAAGTTTTAAAAGGAAGTGTTACTGTGGTCTCCATGGCGTGGCAATTTTTGAGTAGTGTAGTCAAAGAGACTTTACCTAGAGTATTAGGTCCTCAAGATGGTGAACAAAGATGCTAGGAATCATAAAGATTGTTCGTACATATAGTTTATGATATCCACAAGTTTATGATAACTATGATTTGTCTGGTTTCAGTTTCACCAAGTTTAGTCAAAACACCAACGAACAAGACCATATTTGAGGGTGAAACGGCAACATTCCACTGTACGGCCACTGGGAACCCAGTCCCAGAGATAACATGGATAAAAGATGGGAAGACTGTGGCTCAGGGAGACGTGTTTAAGTTTTCCGCCAAACGAAATCAGTCCGGGGAATATCGCTGTTTGGCTGAGAATGGACTGGGTGTGAATATCACTGCGAGTGCCTCTCTAGATGTACAGTGTAAGTTTACGTAACACGTTACATTCGTTGAATTTACTCAAAGATTAAACATTTCAGTAATGTCTAAATCTTTAGTAAAACGTCAAGCCAAAAGGTGATAAGAATAAAAAAAATTACCGACTACATGTACGTGATACTGTTTTTGATGTAAAAGCCAATTTCTTTGGAAATGAATGGGATTTAGGTAAGAAAAAAGCGACTTATTCTACTTTTGAGTTCCTTTTGATCTTTCTCCATTTCGTTACTCTTCATCTCAACTATTCCTTGATGATTTGCATTTATCATTTGCTTGAATTTCTACTCCAAGTTTTTCTATTTGAGTTCCACACGGCAAAGGACAAAACACAAACGAAAGAGAGACAAGGCTTTTAAGGACTGAACCCTAGATACTGTTACAATTGAAATTACTTCTTGACGGTATAACTGTACATTTTGTCCATTTCTCATTTCTTATTCAGTTGCACCAAGTTTAATTTCAACACCAGCTGACCAGACTGTGATTGAAGGAACCAAAACAACATTCTTCTGTAATGCCTCTGGGAACCCATCTCCGAAGATAACTTGGTCAAAAGATGGAGAGACTGTGACTAAAGGAGAAGTTTTTAGCTTTGAAGCGAATAGGAATCAATCTGGAGAATACTTGTGTGCAGTTGTTAATGGACTGAGTGTTAATATCACTACCAGCGTGAAACTTGATGTGCAATGTAAGTCGAGAAATTATGCAGTTCTGTGAAAATGTAACGCATACAGTAGCCGTGGAGTTTGGCGCTTTGCTCTTCCGATATATCGCCCGTATATATATTTCACATAAACGAAACGCTTTACAACGATAATTTAACGAGATACCGACTGGGAGGTTCTTCAGTAGAATTTCGTCGATATATCATAGCAGCGGAATATATGTACGCTGATATTTCCTAGAGCAAGCGACATATCATCACGATACAGCAACCTAGAAAAATATTGAGGCAGGTTTATCCTGTAATGAATGGTGTCTATCTTCGATATCACTTCATAGTGACTGCAAGATACTTCTGATGACTCCCTAACGAGGCATGAAAGTTTTAAAAGGAAGTGTTACTGTGGTCTCCATGGCATGGCAATTTTTGAGTAGTGTAGTCCAAGAGATTTTACCTAGAGTATTAGGTCCTCAAGATGGTGAACAAAGATGCTAGGAATCATAAAGATTGTTCGTAAATATAGTTTATGATATCCACAAGTTTATGATAACTATGATTTGTCTGGTTTCAGTTTCACCAAGTTTAGTCAAAACACCAACGAACAAGACCATATTTGAGGGTGAAACGGCAACATTCCACTGTACGGCCACTGGGAACCCAGTCCCAGAGATAACATGGATAAAAGATGGGAAGACTGTGGGATCAGGAGAAACACTGAGTTTTGAAACAAGAAGGAATCAATCTGGAAAATACTGGTGTTCGGTTGACAATGGCATAGATAAAGCTGCTAACGC